CATAAAAGCTAGCTAGCAAGAAGCCTGACACAGGCCATACAGTTTATAAATAATATTAAGCCTCTGAGTGATTATCTTATAAGTGGCTGTGGGACCTCAGGACCAGGCAGAACTGGAGAAACCTTCCAGCTACAATAATGAGCTAGGCTGTCAGGCTTGCTCTGATCATGGTCCAACCTTAGCTTGGCACTATCTGAGAGGAGGGGACCTGAGGGAGACTGAAGGGTCAAGCAAGAGACGGTTGTGGCAGGGCGGGAGACATGGGTGCGGAGTGTGTGGTGGAGAGGCTGCTATAGGAGAGCCAGGACAAGTGGGATTGTGGAGGGAGGCAGAAGGGGAGCAGAGAAGTGGATAGGGGCAAGTGGAGGCAGATACGGAGCTCAGATGGAGCAGGTCAGGAGGTGGAACAGTGGCTGTTTCTGGAAACAAGTAATTGGCAAGCCAGGAAGGGGCCAGAGGGTGTCAGCTCTGGGACGGGTCAAGAGCAGATATCCAGGGGAAGGCAGCTGTACTCATCTATTCTCACCCTTACTCCAAACCCCGAGGGGCCCCCACCACTAGCCCATTAGCAGATGCTAATACTAAAGCCCTGCTCTCCTACTTTGCTTCGCTGCTGCGATTTGCTAAAACACCGACCAATAGCAATTTGGGAAGGAAATAATTCACTCTAGCTCCTGGGTCACAACCCGCAATTGAGGGAAATTGGGGCAGGTACCTGGCTGCAAGAACTGAAACAGAGATCATGGAGGAAAACTGCTTGATGGCAGGCTTTTCTTTTGCTTACTCAGCTACTTTTCTTATACAACACAGACCCTATGGCGACACCTCCCATATCATCTATCAATAAGGAAAACGTCTCGCAGATGTGTGCACAGGTCAGTTCACTAGAGGCTATTCCTCAATATAGGTTCTGGGGGAGACTGAGGTTTGTGTCAAGATGACAAGCTATCTTCTGATGCTTGGGATCTGCTATCCTCAAGGCTCTTTAAAGCACAATCCCTGTGTTGTCCTCTTCTACCTCATTATCATCTTCATCACCTTCTAACACCCTTCTACATGTTCCGTAGTTTCTTTATCTTCCTCCTGAGATACAATCTCCACCTCCAACCCCTTTGTCTCTTTCCAGTTTGCCTTCTACTCCATTATCTTCTTCTTATTTAGGCCCTTGACATTCAACACATACATTGTTTCAATGCTCTCCTCTAACTTTGCTCTGGAGCTGGAGCTGGACTAGGGCTGGTGGGGAAGTGGGTTGCTGGGGCTGAGATGGAGAGATCCTAGTCAGTGGATAGTTGCATGGCCAGAACCCAGCATGACAGTTTCTAGGTAAGGTGGTTTTCTTGAAGATGTGGAAGGGGGATAAGGGGTAAGACAGAAGTTAGTCCAGATCAGAGACCTGAGGGACTGAAGTCATATGAAGGGTGGACAGAAAAGCAGTAGGGCAGCAGTTAGTGAGCCCAGTTTGCAGGTCCTAGGTCCTAGGCTTTCTGACCTAGTGCCAACCACTCAATTTCATAGGTTTAATGATTTTAGTTTTGCATGATATCTCTTTTTCCATAATTTTATATTCAACATGCATTTATATGTAATGTGAGTATTCTGTAAACAACAGAGTTGGGGTTTTGCTTTTTTATCCAACACTATTGGTTCTGTCATAGAATTGAAAAGGCCATTCCATTTATTTGTAATATACAATACTTCTATGGTTGTACCTATTATATTTTGTATTCAAACCATCTGTTTTCAGTACTCTGTTTATAATTTTCTGTTTCCTTTTGCTTAAGAACTTTTAATATTTATTTAGATCTTCAGTTGCATTTAGTAGTAAAATTATTATGGATATTTTTCTCAAAAAATGATCAAAATAGTCATTTCTTATCACAATTTACCTTAAGCTGACACTAGACTAAAGTCACATAACACACAAAACAGTTTTAAGTATTTGATCTTCCTTCATTTTGCTATGGCATGAAAGATCAATACAAAACAGAGGAGTTATATTTGAGAATTCATATGGTAGAGAAACTCTGTGTTTATAATATAATTGGAAAATTCTCAAAAAGACTTTTATATTTAGAATATAGCATATATTTTAATTGGAAAGAAATGAAATTAAAGTAATTAAAAGAACTGGGCCTTCGTCCAGACTCCAAAACAAAATATTCACTAGAGAACTCATACTGGCAAGAAATAATAGAAAATCAATGAACATAAGAATGCATTTATTGACTTCTCATTTAAGACACATATGGGATAACACATTAGTCATAAACTCAATCAATACGAGGTATACAGAGAACCTTTCAAATGTTCCTTGAACCTTAGGACTCATGTAGAGAACACATTGAAGACAAATACTATGAGGATACAACACG